ATTTTTATCATTTATAAACTTTAATTCATTTTTTTCTTAATTTTTTAGGCTTATACTTTACAACGCCTTGGGGCTTATGCCTCACTCTTTCGGGCCATTGTGCCTTAATTAACATTGGATGCTTGGAGTTTTCTTTTGAATTTGTAGATAAGTGAGGAAGAAATTTCATTCTTGACTGGTGGTGATGATCCTTATGATGATAATGTGGTGTTAAAAGAAACTCTTCCATCCTCATCTTAAACTTTTGCTTGTAAGTGAAGGCCCAGAAGGCTGCAGGTATTATACCAAGGTAAGCATATATGACTGTTTTCTTGGCCAGAATTCTAAACAAGTAAATGAAAGCCCTCCAACCCCTCCTTCGAAAGAAAAAGAGAAAAAAAAAATATTTGTGTCCACATATATATAAATATCTTGAAACAGGTCCACAGGCTCTCAGAATTGTATATCTTCACTAAATTTGGTTTCTAATGAAGTGGTGTTTCATTAATGAGGTCTCAAGAACAAGTAAGTGCCTATTTTTGGTTTTCTTAATTCTTCTTCAGAAAAAAAAAAAAAAAAACAGATGAAAATAGTAGAGCTCTTTGACGAATGATTTTGATGGTTCATATTTAAAGAAAATTTTGACTTTGACAATTTAGTAAGTTGGATGAAATAAGAAATAGATTGCTTTCTCTGTAAACATTTTTATATGAGAAATCCTATTTACATAGCTCTGGGCTTTAAGAGTTTGTAGAAATCATTATTGTATTATTCTAATCATTGCATTTATATGTTGAATTAATACATTTTGTGTCTCCATTGTACTTTATCATTTATTTTGTCATTGTGATCAACCTGACTAAAGAAATTTAGGGGTAAGATGGCTGGTGTTAAAGTTAAATCCAATTAATCCATTGACACAACTGGTGCTGGTGATGCATTTGTCAGTGGGATACTATGCAATCTGGAATCTGACCCAAATTTGTATCAGGTACTTTGATTCTTTATTGCTGAATAGATGTTAAAATTATAATCTCAGAGTAATCTCAAAATCTTTTTTTTTTTTTTTGTTTGTTTTTGATTTTCTGTGAGCTTTCTTTGTTGGCCTATCCACTTCAACTACTATTTTCTTATATGACTTTCGGATATTTTGCTTGATCTCTGTTCCATTAACTCTTTTTTTGATATGCCTTCTGTATTTGAACTTGAAGACATTTTATCTTTGGGAAAGGCCATCAAAATTGTCAGCTAGGTAACTTGGTAATATGCATATTGATCCCACAACCTGAATCCAATAATTTGTCTTCACAAAGAAGCCCCATTTACCAAACAAATTACTAAGTAACTAAACAAGTTAATCATAAAAATGAGAATCTGTTTGTGGAGGGTGGGCTTTGACGCAACGGTTGGGTTGCTCCATTACGACCTGGATGATCAGGGTTCCAATCTTAGAAACAACCTCTCTGTATGTGCCAGGGGTAAGGCTGTTACATCTATCCTTTCCTACACCTCGCATTGACCTTTAAAAAAAGAATTTCAGACTTTCACAAATAGGAACAGTGCATTGAGAGCACACTTCAGTGGATGAGTCATTCTGTTAACTTATAAACTATGTTATATTCATAGAAAATTCCATGAAATGAAAGTACTCATTTTTCAGGAACTTTCTCTGAATCTGAAGCGGAAAAGCTGTTTAGATGGGAAAAGTTTTCGTTGTATCACCTGTTGTTCTCTCACTTGGACAAACATGCAAATAAATTAACAGCATAATCTATATTATATAATTTATCAATATATCTGGAACATCTGATTATTTTTATTTTCAATAGGTTGAGCCTGTGCTTCCTGCATCTGCGTGCACAGGATGCAGGGATATCCCCTCTATGGATGTTGTTGCTGCTGTCAGGGATGGGGCTGAGGGCAATAAGGTAATTTCACTTCTGACCGAGGCCGATGAGTCTAGCCTGAGAGTAAGAGGAGAGCACACGTCAGAGGCCCCCGGGTGTTATCCCCGGGGCGGAGACTCCGACGGTCAAGTTAGTCAAGTGCTTGAGAGGGGTCGGACCAGGCTTGAGACGAGGTCACTTGAGAATAAGAAAGCTAGAGAGCAAGAATCAGCAAGATGGATTTAACTTAAGTTAGGCACCCTCTTTTATGCTTGACCTTGCCATGGAATGGTTAGAGGCAGTTAGAATTGAACGGCCAAGATCTCATCCGGCCAATGCCATGTGGCACAATCCGGGGCTTTGCCATATGCGCATATATCAGATGTCCTTGTGAAGGCGGGGGGGGGGGGGAGATCTTTGTTCTTTTTACATAATAAAGGGAAAAAGGCATTGAGCATATCAATTTGGAATCATAGTGTCACAACAATCTGAGATTCAAATATTAGCTTCAATTTGTTTTTACCAATGCATTTATTAGTATTTGCTTAAGGTGTTTATTCTTTCTTGGCAGGATTTGACGGAGCGATCAAGGGAAGCTATACTATTTGCAAATGCATGTGGTGCCCTCACAGTTACAGAAAGAAGAGCCATTCCTGCTCTGCCCACAAGAGAAGCACTCCTAGAATTGTTGCCCAAAGCCATTCCATGATGAGGCATCAGTATTTCTCTGCTGAATTTTCTTATCCAACTAATGTATCTTGAGTTTTCCTTGCTAAGGTAACACATATTGATCTCTTCTCTTGCAATAGGTTCTGTGAGATCTAGTCTGTCCTGTAAGCCAATGGGTTACTAAGCATCCTTCCTCTATTGTAATGAAAATTGAGGAAGCATATTGAAGATGGTAATAGAAAAAGGCCATTACCCAATATTGGAGTTATCTGAGTTCTTGGGAAGGCTGGACTGGATACAGTCATACAGAATAAACACCCTAAGCAAAATGCAGTAGGTATTATATTTAGAACTATCACCCTCTGTTTTTCTTTCTTTTCTTTTCCTTTCTTTTTTGGGGTAAATTAAAGATAGTCATCCTATACCCAACACTTTGTCCCAACCCACTATCAGAGTTGATGGCAAGTAAAATTACTAAATTGCCCAACCAAGATTCCACAGGGCTGACAACAATAAATACCAAAATGATGAAAATAATCGTTCTAAAGCACAGATTCGTTCTCAAGGGGTTGATGAATCCGATCATTCTCACACTCTCAAAATGAACTTTTGAAATTTTAATTAATTAATTAATTTTTGTATTGGTATTTTAATTTGGCTTTGGCCCCATAGCTCATAGGGCGAGGTGCTGTATATTAGACCTAATTAGTGAGTTAGGTCTAACGGATGCCTCATGAACAACTTAACTACCAGTGGATTGAAATGTCAAAACAAACATGAAGTTGGATGAATTCTGGATTTCTCACGCTTGTCAGCCAGAGAATTTGCCATTACACCAAACAATGGCCTCTGCAATTATCTCTTATAAATTCCAAGATTATAACTCGAGCTGGACCCAAATGTTGGTGATCCAAAATTTGTGGACCCAGGGCCTACCTACTAATCAGGGTTAGTGGTATTCATAAGTAGGGCTGTTAATGGGTGGGGTCTATCGAATGGATATGATATAATCAAACTAATTATAATAGTTTTGGTTTCATGATTTTGTCTTGATTGATAATTGGGTCAGCTTTGGTTCTTGTGTGTTTGGAATCAATTTAAATCCAAAACGGATGATTTTATATTTCTATTAAATATATAATATGATATAGTATATATTTTTATTTTTTATAATTTTTGTCATATTTTAAGTTTGGAACGATAAATAAGATAATATTAGTTAAAATGTTTAATTTATTAATATATAAAAATTTAGTATTTTTTTACCATTATCATTTTTATTAAGGTTATATTATCGAAATTAAAAATTGAAGTTATTATTTAAATAAATAATCTATATAAATATATTAAGCTGAAATGTGTAAGTAAGAAGGCCTAAGGATGAGGGAAATGAAATCTATTTTTTGCCTTTTTCTTAAAAGTTACAAGAGTGCCATACCAACTCTCACCTTTTCCTTTTTTTTTCTTTTAAATTACAAGAATACCACTATCTCCTATCAATTCTCTCTCCTTCTCTCTCTTGCTTTTTTCTTTTAAATTATAAGAATGCCACTCTCTCTCTCTCCTATCAATTCTCTTTTTTTTTTCTTTTTTACAAATTACAAGAATGCCATCTCTCTCTCTCTCCTTATAAATTACAAGAATGCCACTATCTCTCCAACTGAGGGAGACTTCAACTCGACACCTTGCCTGATAGGGGACCTACAATCAAAGGTAGTCAAGTTCGAGCCGAGCTCGAACTTCTGAGCTCAAGCTCAAGTCTCTAATTCGAACCGAGCTCGAGCTAGATGACACCTCGACCATTGAGGAAGACCTCGGCTCAGCACCTTGGTCACCGAGGGAGATTTCAGCTCAGCACCTTGACAACTGAGGGAGGCCTTAGCTCGACACCTTGTCAACTAAGGGAAACCTTAGCTTGACACCTTGCCTACTAGGGAAACCTCAACTTGACACTTTTGAGCTTTTGACTCGAGCCAAACTCAAACTCGAGATCAAATCTGTGATTTAAATCAAAATAGTTTATGAGCGAGCCCTTGTAACGGAGGGCCTTCCACTAGTATTATTTTAAATATAATTGGGTCTGGATCCGATAGATACCTCTCTTTATTGACCGGGATGTTTCTGGATCATCCCAATTAGTAATCGATTCAGAACTGATTCTATGAACCTGACCCAGACCCGATCCGTTGACAGCTGCTTATGAGTCATAACTCAAAGTCATAAGTTGTAAGTCAAAAGGTTGTTCATTAGCGTTCCTCAGTTTTGTGGTTTTAACTTCAAGTTAAATTCATCGCGTCTTGGGTACTGGGACAGTACGCCACGTCAGCTAAGCAATGTTGAATCCGCATTCAGGACAACGTGGCACGTTGTGATTGGCGTTTTGATTTTGGGAAACTTGGTATTCCTGAGAATATAGAGGGTAATCTTGGACAGTAGATGGATTTTGATGTTTAGTAGAGAAGGCAGAGCGCGTCGGCTGCGGAGTGCTGAGAGAGTGAGAGGGAGCAAGGCACACTGGCACACAGAAACGGAGGAGTCGGCTGCCAGCCAATTCACGATTCACGAGATACACAGACAGACGGAGGACGAACGAACTACGACCGACCCCAAGATTGAAGAAGTGAGGGCGATCACATTATTAAGAGAATGAATTGAGTGAATGCTGATCGACGAACCATGTAATGGAGTGAGCGAGTGATCCAGATCAGAGACTTTAAGACCTACCGATTCCAGCTTCTGCTCCAAATTCAATGGCTACGAATCCTTCTCTCCTTCCTGAAATTGGACCCGATGGTCTCCCCAGAGAAGCCCCTGTTATTGCCTATACCGAGAAGGTCTGCCTACTCTGTGTGTGCCGATTTGTTTCATCTCTGTAATGCATTCCCGCTGACTAATCCTGGCAATTGTTTTTTTTTTACTTTGACGATTATCAGATTATCGAGGAGGAGCAACTTCAATTGAGAAAGTATGCACGCTTATCCTTACGTCTTTCCTTTCATCATTTTTGGCTCCACTAAGTTTGTGCTCATGCTTGTACCTTCTATTTCCCTTGTTTACTTCCGAGTTGATTGCTCTTGATTTCGCATTTTCTTTTTCTGGATCCGACGTTTTTTTTTCTCTGTTTCGGTAGGGTTATCTCATTTTCCCACCTAATTGAATCATACTGTATTTCGATTCCTTTGATATTACGGGCGGGGCAACCATATGGACTAAACAACAGAGTCCTACTAATAGGATCTCCTGTTGACAAGAAGCGACTTGGTCTTTGGGATTTTTTCCAGTTTCAGATTGGTATATTTTTTTAACTGGTCTGAATTATGAAGGATATTACTGCAGGAGATAAGTTCAAGATAAGGCCATAGAACAGGGTTTATACTTTCGATTTTTGATGCTTGATGCTTGTGTTCCTCACGGGAGCAGCATGAATCATTAATATTACCTGATGCCGAGGTCCTACCTCCACGCTGGAGATTGTATGCATTCGTCATGACAATTGTGTATCTTTAATCCTTCAGTAAACAACTTCGGTAATTTTGGAATAGCAAAAGCGGGGGTAGAAATTTCCACAAAAAAAAAAAGAAAAGAAAAAAGCGAGGGTAGAACTATAAAACTCCATTTCTTCCTTTGTATAGGAGAGCAAATAAAAGATTGGGAGTCACTGCAGTTTTTAATGCACATATGAAGGACATGGATATGATCATTGTTGAAACCATAGCATCATGGGATTGATGAATCTTTTGACAGTAGACATGATAATAGATGGAAGGTCTGTTTGGATTAATAAAAGAATGACATGAAATCTAGTTGACATTTTATAAGGATGGAGTTCGTACTTAACCAATATGGCAAAATCCATAGGACTGTTAGAATGTGTCAAGCCAAGCCATTTAACATTTGGGGCTGTAATTTATCACCACGCTCCACAGCTGACATCTTGGCAACTCCCTGCTCTAAGTAGCCATTTCCATGATTTGAACCTGAAATGTGGGGTAATCTTTGATGACAATTATTATGTACTTAACCCATAAGCCAAAAGCCCTAGGACCGTTGCCGCATTTACTTTATGTTGGATGCATGTCCAATTAAGTAGATACATATTCACTCCATCAAAACTTGGCACCAAAATACTGAACACAGATTTCAGCATTTATCCCTGGAACATCTTTTGGGCTGCAAAATAATTTAGGGTCCTTTGGTTCGTGGACAGGACTGGAATTGGAATCACCTATTCCTGGCACCTATTTGGTTCAGTCGGAAATCTGAATCAGATTCTGATTGTTTCTGTTTGGTTCAACTAGAAGCCGGAACCGGGATCAGCCAAAATTTCCAATTTTGCCCATGTTAGAAGAAGAAAGAGGGTAGATTCCAAATTTTTGTTTGGCTGGGCCTTGGTTTGGAAGAAGAGGGAGAGAAAGAAGAGGGGAAGAAAGAAGAAAGGAGAGGGGAGGAAGAATAAGGATCTGCTAATACCGACTGCCAACATTATTAGCAGCTGTGGGGGTGACAGAGGGGAGGAGGAAGAGGGAGAGAAAGAAAGGGGGTGGAAGAAGAGAGAAGAGGGGAGAAAGAAGAGGAATGCCTGTAAAATGCTGAGGACTTGGTCTTACCTCGCCAGAGATACTGATCATTGGTGGCTAACTTGGATAGAGGAATGCCTGTAAAATGCTGAGGACTTGGTTGATTAGGGTTTTGGATTGAAGTGGTTTATTTATTTATTTTTTTGTCAAAAGAAAAAGAAGAATAGGGAGGCGGGGCAGAATGGCCATTCCCCCATAGGGGGAATCCCATTCCGCCTAGAATGGGAATGGGAATCCTATTCCGATCAACCAAACAGCTAGAACCAGAATGGGGGCCATTCCGATTTCAATTCCAGATGCATACTTCCTCAAACCAAACAGACCCTTAGAGGTCGAAGTTTATGGCTAGAGACATTATTTAGGGGGTCTTGACTAAGCTCCCCAATACAAAAAGTTATTTGGTGAATGTAGAGAGGTATATTTAGATTCTATGGAGAAATAGGTTAATTTTATAAGCCTCAAGTTAGTTTTAGGCCTCTATTTTACCTTTGAATTATTGTTATGCAGGAATTATAGAGAGCCTCTTGGACTCTTGAGTTAGTTTTGCATTTAGACTTTGGAGTTTCTATTAGAACTTTTTGCTTGATTTCATTTAGATTTTCTTTTTCACGAAGCTAGGTTTCAATTATAATCTAAATATTTTATTTTATTTTTTGAATAAGAAGAAATTTCATTAAAATGGAAAAGGGCACAAGAAATTCTTGACGAGATTTCTCCATAACAAAATGTGAAAACAAAACCACATTACACTAAACAAAGAACCTCTTTTTCAAAGTCAATATCCCCCAATATTCTAACTCAAAGATGATGATAGACTTGACTCTAAATCTCCTCTTTTCATTACTTTAAATTCATGATGAATTAGTACCCATTCCACAACTAATGAATGGATATGAACTACAATCCTTCTTCTTGACCTGTATTATCTTAAAAAAACTGCACTCATTTCTTTCCTTCCAAATACCCCAACATATTGCGAAGAGGAATGACTCAAGTATTTTATGTGCTATCCATCTTTTTTTTGATCAGCAAAAGAGAATTTTTATTAATTTAAAAACAGATTACAAGTACTTCCCAGAGTATAACAATATAGAAAGGTCCCAGAATACAATGATCATCAACCCTCTTTTAACACATCCAGCTACAGTTTTGCCCATTTATGTGCTATCCGTCTTTCTTCATAATTAGAAGTAAGTTCCGTCTTTATCACCACATTTATTTTTCAAAATGCTTATAGCGAGACATGAGCCCATGATCTTTTATTCATGCATATTGCCTTGTTACGATTAATCCTATGTGTGATATATATATATATATATATATATTACTAATGAGATATGTAACATACTGAACTTGCTAAGAATCTAAACATATATTTTCTTGATTACACCTTTGGTCAAAATACCATCTAAGTATCATCAGTCTTAACAAAGGGAAGGTATATCCCTTTGTAGCAGCCTTATTGGCTTATCATGAATACAGTGTCTATCAAATTCTATGTGCTTGGTTTTATTGTGTTGAATCAGATGGATTATTGTCTATTATTCTGGGCTTCTTGCCTTAATGTCAAAGTATAGATTCATCTTACCATCTACAATCAGCTCAAGTTCTTGTAAGGTCTTCAGCCAAAAGAGTACACCATGTGACTGGGTTGAGCAACAATTGAATGCTTCTTACTTCTTTAAGGCATTGAATTCCTAACAATAAAGTTGCAATTCCAAGAAGTATACCTCTTATCATCCATTGAATAGAACATGCTCTTTGAAATTCAATCATTTTATGAGAGGGGTAAAACAGTTGTCTAGGGAATTCAGGACAACTTTCAAGTTCAACTGGATTCAGAGATCAACCAACAATATGGTTGATACTTTGGCAAGACAAGGAGTGAATAGAAATCTTGGGCTAGCAAGCATGAGAACATGGGTTTGAATCTGAGAGCGGCCACTATGTGCAAAAAATTGCCAAAGGTTAGGACCGTATCCAGTCTGTTTGTATTCTGAATAGGGCGGCTTATCTTACCCAGCCCTTCAAACTGATATTTATATTAGGGCAACATTAAAAATATAAGATTACAACTTTGCCCCCATTAGTAAGAGATGGGGTAACTCAAAATAAGGAATCCTAGGCCCATTAACACTTAATAACAGAAGTATAGCCCAACAAGAAACAGGAAGGCATAACATAAATGGGTCGAGGCCCACACTGTTAGGTCTCACAACACTCCCCCTCAAGCTGAGCATAGATGTCCATCATTCCCAGCTTGCATACCAAGTCTCCAAATCTGGTTTTAGCAAGTCCCTTAGTGAATGCATCAGCAACCTGTCTTGTAGATGGCATGCAAGGAGTACATAACTCTCTAGACACAATCCTTTTTTTCACAAAGTGTCTATCAATTTCAATGTGTTTGGTCCTATCATGCTGAACAAGATTATTAGCAATATTTATTGTAGCTTGATTGTCGCAATAGAGCTTCAAGGGTCCTGACATTGTGATTCCAAATTCCTTTTGGAGTATCCTGATCCAAAGAAGTTCAGCCACAATTTGTGCCATTGCCCGGTGTTCATCTTCAACACTTGACTGAGCTACCATGGTTTGTTTCTTGCTTCTCCAGTCCAGGTTACAAGATTTCTACCTACAAATGTGCAATATCTAGTTGTAGACCTCCTGTCTCTAGCTGATCCAGCCCAATCAGCATCAGTATAGGTTTCAACATTAAGTTTTTCATGCTTCTTAAATAACAACCCTTTTCCAGGACATGTCTTCAAGTACCTTAATATTCTCTCCACTGCCTTCATTTGTACAACTCGGGGAGCATGCATAAATTGACTAACAACATGGACAACATAAGCAATATTGGGTCTAGTGAATGATAGATAGAGAAGTTTACCCATAAGTCATTCATCAAAAAAAAAAGTTTACCCACAAGTTGTTGATATCTTTCCTTGTCTAGGTAAAGGTCCTCATCCTTTTCCTACAATCTATGGTTTTGTTCAATAGGAGTCTCACTAGGCCTGCTACCTAATTTTCTTGTCTCCTTCAGGAGGTCAAAGGATCCTTAGACTTGGCACCTCTATTTCCAAGAAGTACCTTAGAGGTCCCAAGTCCTTTATCTCAAACTCAGAGGCCAAAAAGTTCTCAAGTTTTCTGATCTCTTCTGGATCATTTCTTGTTACCAGTCACCACCATGTCATCCACATAAACAATCAATGCTGTCAGTTTCTCTCCATTTCTTCTATGGAATAGTATGTGATTAGCATTGGCTTTGATAGTATCCCACAGTCTTCATTGCCTTGCATAATCTTTCAAACCAAGCCCTAGGTGATTGCCATATGGGGCTCTCCTCAATCTGCATACTTTTCCATTCATGTTATAACCTGCTGGAGGATCCATATAAATCTCCTCTTGAAGATCCCCATTCAAAAAGGCATTCTCGACATCCAACTAGTGCAATTCCCAATTGTAGTTGGCTGCTAGAGACAGTAATATCTGTTTGGCTTCTTGTCCTTCCTCAAGGATGCTGGTTTAAGGTGTGGATGGAGAATCCAGCAAGTATCCTTAGTATGCCTCTCTCCCCCACAATGTGAACACTTCAAGTTCTTCTTATCAGTCCCTTTTCCACCCTTAGAGCTGTTGGAAACAAGAGCTGTCTGCTCACTAGGTTGAAATGGAACACCAATTCCCATTTCTTTCCCTCTCATCTCCTCATTCCTTATCAGGTAAAACACATGATGCAGACCTGGAAGTTCATCTCTCCCCAAAATTTGAGCTCTAATGCATTCATATGAATGGTCCAAACCAGCTAAAAACTTGAATATTTTTCCTTCTTTAATTTGCTTGTCATGCCTTTATTTGTCATTGGTTCTGTTCCACTCAAGGACTAAATGATGATCAAGTTCTTCCCATAAGCCTTCTAATGTAGCAAAATAAGTTGCTACAGTCATGTCCCCTTGAGTCAAACTAAAGATGTCTTGATTCAGCCTATAAATCCTTGCTATATTTTTCTTTCCACTATAAGTGTTGTACAATTTATCCCAAATCTTGTGGGCTGTTGTATAATACTGAACAATCCTCACAATTTTGGGAGTCATAGAAGTCATCAACCATGACATCATAGTTGCATTTTCCCTACACCAAGTCCTATAACTTGGTTCATCTTCCTTGAGTTCCTTAATCTTCCCATCGATGTAGCCTTGTAGTCCATGACTCCCTATGGACCATCTTGCTGAAATGGTCCATTCCCTATAGTTGTATTCATCTAGCTTCACATTAGTAATCTGAACCATAAGGTTTCCAAGGTGAATAACATTGTCAACAGTCCTAGAACCTCCAGAGGATACCTCACTAGTCCTAGAAGACATTATGAACTCACTCAAAGCAATACCGTGTAGCAAGTAGTCAACTATTTCATGTAGAGATTTCATAGCAGTTGACTACTATCAGTATTCTGTTTCTAGTAGTTGACTACTACACGGAGAGATTTCCTAGTAGTCGACTACTACCTCAACAGAACCAAAAAAGCAGCAAGTAGAACGGGTCTAATAGCACTTCCCTTTACTCAAGCTTCGCAAACAAGCTTGGCTGGACTGTAAACTAATCTCCTGGACTGTTACTACTTGAAGTCCTGTTGCTAAACCTGTTAAATAGGTCTTTCTGGTAGTCCATACGACTACTTCACAGTTTCTTGCCCTACCTGGGCATACCAGCAACTAACCTGGGTCTCCTTGGAGTTTTTCCAAGGATAAAACCCAAAAAACTTCAGCCAACCATGATCAGCAGTAGAACTCCTTGTTAATCCAACAATAAAAGAGAAAACTTAAGACGAAAGATGGGGTGAAGAAGATAGGTAAGCAGGATGAGATCGGCTTAATGCTCTGATACCATGTTTGTATTTTGAAATTTGGAATTGGGTGGCTTATATTAGGGCAACATTAAAAATATAAGATTACAACTTTACCCCCCATTAGAAAGAGATGGAGTAACTCAAAATAAGGAATCCCAGGCCCATTAACACTTAATAACAGAAGTATAGCCCAACAAGAAATAGGAAATCATAACATAAATGGGCCAAGGCCCACATTGTTAGGCCGCACAACATAGTCTACCCCTCCCAAGTCCCAAGACCCAGTTAGCTGGGACCAACATTAGGTAATGGCCTGTATTGGGAACTTGCCTCCCAGGGTGGAAGAATGTGATATAAAAGCAAAAATTTAGAATCAAAGGGGTGAGTATCAGGGGTTAGCTTCTCCATGCATTTTTCAGTCCTTACCACTATCAGCAAGTTTGGCCTTTTATTTACCACTAATATTTTCATGAATTGGTTAGGTATATTGAAGAAAATTATTCTAAAATCCGTGATGTTGAACGAGAGCTGGCAAATCTCTCACTGGAGTTGAAACTCACAGCTGGACCTAAGAAAGCAGGTAGTGGAATAATAGTTCTATACAATTAAAAAATGATATTAGTTCTATTTCTGTTTTATCCTTCATTTGTCTACTTCTATATGTACAACTAAACTTACTAGTTTCTGTTTTTGTATTACATGGAATTAAGCACTTGAGCACTTGCGAAAGAAAATAGAGATGTCAACTGAGAGAATACGTGTTGCTAAATTGAAGGAAGAACAAGCACGCAAGGTCTGTAACACTTACTTTGGTCAAGTTGAACCATGCTTGCTAGAGATAATTATTTTCCCCTAAAGGAAGTTCTTTAAAGATAATAAATTCTATCTGGAAAACTTTCTCTTGATTATCATAAATTTGATTTTTTATGAGTAATCCACAAATCTTTATTAATACATGAGAAAATATGTAACAAATAGGATCCAAACAAGCAATCCAAAAGAATTTCCATTTTATCACCATCTACACCCAAAACTGCCAGACAATTAAAAAAAAAATCACTTTTTAAATGTTTTCTTTAACTCCTTCAGCATCAAAGCTAATCCCATCAATATACTATAATCATCCATACACATTCAAGAGAAGGGCCTTTCCATATTTTCTAAATTCTATGTTTCCTCTTCTCCCCAGGAAAAAAATGTTAAAAAAAAACAGACAACAAAGGGAGCCATGACCCGTAACACTGTCCCTTCGGAAGCCAATAGGATAACCAGGTCAATAGAGAAGAATGGAACGCATATTGAAAGGATACAGCCAATCCATGCCAAAAGAAACAGAGAAGATTTCCCATAAGTAGAAATAAGGATGCACTGAAGGAATAAGTGATCCAATGATTTCTCTATCTGCAAAAAACCATACCTATTAAGGATTGGAATGCCTCAGTTACTTTGACAGTTGATTCCAGGGGTCTTGTCAAGGAAAACCAGCCACATGAAGACTTTAACTGTTGGAGGAATCCAATAACTCCAAATGCAATCGTCATTACAAACTATGAAGTCCCTTAGCCATGAAAAGTTGCACCAAAAGACCTTTGATTTCTTTCAAATGCTCTTATCTCTCTGATTGGGCTAAACTGACAACACCTTCCGGCTTCTGAAGCAAGAATATGTACTTCATCTCTCTACTCAGGAGTCAGGAGAAGTCTTCTAAATAGTGAAGACCAAACAATTCTGCCTCAGACAGACAAGAAAATCCATCACTCTATCAAATGGAGATGAGTCCTTGGAAAGGTGAGGACAAGGAGAAATCCAAACACCTACACTTCTCTGGGTATCCTCCCAAAATCTAACTTTTGAACCATCTATCACTATGAAGCCTATAAGAGCATTGTATTCATCAGTCTTTCAGATACTTCTCAAGAAATTAACACCATAGGATAAAAAAAAAGTTGTCAAAGCCCAACTGAACTCATTTTTCCATATTTGGCAGTAATTATCCTCCTCCATGAAGATGCATTTTCCCTTGGGAATCCCCAAAGCCACTTCCCTAGAGGAGCTTTGTTAAAAAAACTCATCCTTCTGAAGCCAAAACCACTGACATATTAGGGCAACAAATTCACTTCTGTTTGACGAAGGGAAGATTTCTTTCATCCACTCTACCATTTCTTAAGAAGCTTATTGTTTTTTTATTGTTTCCATCCACTTAATAACTAAGGTTGATAGTGATATTTCTTCTTTTTTTCTTCAGTCATGTCCACAATCTAGTCTGACAATTTGTTAAGTAACTAGGCAATTTAGGCAGCATTTGGTAACTTTTCAATGGATAACCTTATTAAATGCTGCCTTTAGCCAATATGACTCACTGGTTTAGGATAAATTAATCAAATATCATCATTTGTTTTTGATAATTGAAATAATTTTATTAATCAGCAATAGACAATAGTACAAAGTCYCCAAGGAAAGGCACGAGTTGCAACCTCTCCGGGCTAGTTAAGTACAAATTTCCAAATTAATAGCAACTTACATAGAAGCACAAAAAAGATCTTCCCTAGAAACCCCCTGTTTGGCTAAAGCATCAGCCAAAGAATTAGTAGACCTATTAACCCATTTTACCTCTGTAGGTTTTTAAGACTGTTCAGTCTTGATCACTAAGAGATTTCAGGTTCGATGAGAAGAGAAAGTGAAGAAGATGTAGAAGAAAGAGTGATGGAAGAGTAATAGAACACAGATTTTGAGGAGAAGAACAGAATGTCAATATTCTGCCGCCGCCGCTTTAAGTTAATATATATAGGTTATGCTAGTTACATGAAAGG